ATTATTTCCACCACATTTTGTAATGGCAGCCATATTGCCCCAACCCGTTTCATATTTGACATGATGACATATTTACTGATGCATTTTTTAGAAAAGGACCATACTGAGTGTCGTTTGTTAATACAACGGGATTTACATCTTCGTGTGATATGAAATACAATGACTCTGTAGCTATCTCTTTTAACACAGGAAATTTGTGAGCACAGAATAACTATTTGTAATAATATTTGCCCCTAATGTTCAAATTAAACTTGAAAGACAATTTGAACAATGTTCATTTATCAAATGATCATATAATGTCATGTATCAACTTAGTAAAGTACTATCAACACTCATTTTTACACTAAATCACAGTTATTTCAATGACTTTAGGATAAGATGTGGTTTTTGTATATACCTTGACATCATACCGCAAGACCAGTTTATGGAAACTAAATACATACCAACTTTAAACCAGATCATATTGTAATTCTATGTGTTGCATTATGTAAAGAGCAGTAGTCGTCGCGCCACGCATGCGCAAGATATCTTGATCTCATATAAACAAAGATGGCGACTGTTGACTGTTGCGCAGATCAACGAGTACAAACTGAGAAGTTACCAAGCTTTAATTAAGTATTTTTTAGGTGATTGGAAGCTATCGAACGAGTCACCGGCTGTAATTAGTGCAAGTCACGCCAGGTCAAACCTCATGCTTTTGACTTCTATTAAAATAGCGCATTGGATTGTGGGAAAATCAATGTTAATCAACACAAATGTTGCACATTCGCAGCGCAACGATAGGCGCCCTTTAACACGTTCTGCAAATTTCACAGATTTTATGAAAAATAGTATGCATACATTATAATAAAACAGCATGGCCGCCAACGGACGAATCACAAATCCAAGTAAACTTATGTGACGTTTATATCAGTACTAGTAGAAGCATTATAGGGATTTTTTAAAAACGGAAATGAACACCGGATAATTGAATTTATTTCAGATAAAAAAATATCTGACATACATAATGTACATACAAAGATTACATATCTATGGAAATGAAATACCCCAAAACCCAAAATGGATAAGAGGTTTTAACAAAATCGGTAAAGAAAATGAAATAAACATGTTTAAACAAAATTTAGACAAGATGAAATCTTTAAAACTGTTGGATTAAAAGAAACATTAAAAAAATTACATAATGGATCCTTATGATTATCAAGAAATTTCCTTTTAGATCTTGAAGGTAACAACATGGGATTGACAAATTACAGGGATAATGGAACTTGTGAAGTCTGCAATCAGGGCACTGAACACATTTACCACTTTCTGTATCTTTGTAGGTCATCTAATCATATAAGAAATGAGTTTTATTTAACATTAGAAATCTCACTGAGAAACAAAGTTGAATCTTCATCACTAATGAATAGCTTCCTTTCAGGGGGGGGGGGTGAATTATAGGTTCAATTTCCCTTTTGGTGATATACTATG